GTCTTGGGCATTGGACTGCAAGAGTTTGCATCTTAGCTTTACCACTTACTACTTGAGTGACCGTGTGTTACTTAACTTCTCTATGGCTCAGTTTCCCCATCTGCAAAATGGGGATGATAGTAGTACCTACCTCATTGGGTTTCTGAGGAGATTAAGTGAGCTGATATGTATAAGCTTCTTAGAATAGTGTCTGGCATAAGTGATTCTATAAGTGAGCTTTCAGTGATTATAGCTTTTACACCAAAAAAGAATTCATCCCATTTCATAGCTTTTGCACCCGCATCTCCTTTAGCTATTAATTGCAGCATGATATGGAATGAGCTGCACTCACAGAGGAGATATTCTGAATGGTGCGAGGCAGTGTACGTGGAGGAGGTCAGGGCTGTGATCAGATGGACATTTTGCTGGAGATGGTGATGCGATCTTACACATCATTTATCTTCTCTCATCCCCATTTGTGTGTGTGTGTGTGTGTGTGTGTGTGTGTGTGTGCGTGTGCGTGTGTGTGTGTGTGTGTGTGTTGAGACTTTCATTATAGGGTTTAGGTAAGTGAATGTAAATTCTGCTTTTGGTGAAGATTGATATAATTATGAAGATGCTCAGAGATGAGACCCCTTTGGCCTGGTGTCCCAGAAACATGTACATTTTAGAGGACTTGCTTTGAGGATAACAGACACATCGGAAAGGATCGCTGGACAGACCCACTGGACAGAAGTTGCCCTTGTGCAGTTGGTTTGAACAATGGAGATAATTGACTGTTTTTCAGGAAGGTTTTAGCTTATTTGTAAATTTTGCACTTTTTTTTCTTCCAGCAATTTCTTTGACAGTGTTATTTTTCTGTTGGGTTCCTTTGAGTTCAATTTACCTGTAATCTGTAAACATTTCTTCTATCAACAACCTGCTCCACAACTGACCTAACTCTTCAGACTTGCACAGCCTTTGCTTAAACTACTTGCAACGGATAATCTACAATTTCCATGTATAATTTATAATTTTCAGTACTCTATAATCCAGGAGATGATTCTGTTCCACTCAGCCTAATGGATGAACATTACAGTCCTCACTTTTCAAAAAGCTGAAGGAGACCATATGAAAATTTGTATGAACCTTTCTGTTCTAAAGAATTACTTTAAATTTAAGAAGTTTAGCCTATTAGCTGAATTGTGTTTTTAGAAGAATTGAAACACCATGCATGGTGTTCGAACTAGTAATGCTTTCTTCTTGTTTTCATGCCATTTTTAATTTAAAGGAGTAGTAGTACATAGTATACAGCACTTAGATATAATTGATGTAATTTTCCATATTTTAAATGGCTCAGGCTGGGAGTTTAAGGAAAGAAGCCACATGAATCAGTGAGAAGCCATAACCTTCCAGGGTTTCTTCTGGCTGATTATTGACTAATGCACAAGTTGATGTATCTCAGCTGAGCTGCAATACCAAGGGCAAGCATGGTATGATATCGAGAGATGCTCTGGACCTGTGGATCTCACCTTTTCTTGGTTATGAACCTCTTTAAGAATAAGGATAAGTTGTGGACATGCTTCTCAGAAAATGACACAAAGCTTGGCATAGAATTCTAGAGAGTGTACACGAACTCCCTGAATTTTCTGTCGAATCCCTGCTTCCCCACTGGAGTTCACTGAACACGGGGAGGCTTCCTCTCACTAGGCTTGACCACCCTCTTGATTTTTTTTTTTTTTTTTTTTTGCGGTACGCGGACCTCTCACCGTTGTCGCCTCTCCCATTGTGGAGCACAGGCTCCGGACGTGCAGGCTCAGCGACCATGGCTCACGGGCCCAGCCGCTCCGCGGTATGTGGGATCTTCCCAGACCGGGGCACGAACCCGTGTCCCCCGCATCGGCAGGCCGACTCTCAACCACTGCGCCACCAGGGAAGCCCCTGATGTTTTTAATGATAGTGAGTTGGACATTTCTGGAGACCAGGAAATAGAGACTGATCAGAGGATTTTTATGATACAATAAGAAATATGCATAGTGGTCTTTGTCCACAGTTCCTAGCACACAGCTCTTAAAACCCTTGGAATTTCCAGAATGATGAGAGTGTCTTATATGCTAAGGGGATGATTGGTGGTTGGGGGGATAATAGCTTCAGGATGGGAGCTGGTTGCCAGAAAAACCAAGGCATGTTTAGAGTAGTGGAACTTTTAGCCCTACCCCACGACTTCCAGAGGGAAGAGAGGGGCTGAGAGATGCATTAATCACCAGTGGCCAATAATTTAATCAATTATGCCTATGTAATGAAACCTCCATAAAGTCTCCTAAACAATAGTGTTTGAAGAGCCTCTTGGTTTGTGAACACATCAAGATACTGGGCAGGTGGAGCACCTGGAGAAGGCATCGAAGTCCTGCGCTCCTTCCCCCATACCTGGCCCTCTGCATCTCTTCCATTTGACAGTTCCTGAGTTTCATCCCTTGTAATAAACTGGTCCCAGTAAGTAAAGCACTTTCCTGAGTTCTGTGAGCTGTTCTAGCAAATTATTGAACCTGAGGAAGGGGTCATGGGAACGCTTGATTGATAGGTCAGGAGTGCAACTGGCAACCTGGGATTTTAACTTGGCATCTGAAGTGGGGGCAGTCTGGGTGGGGTCTGCACTAACTCTACATAGCTATTGGCAGAATTGATTTGAATTGTAGGACACTCGGTTGATGTGTGGAGAGTTAGAGAATTGGTTCGTATGGGGGGAAAAGTCCACACATTTGGTGTCAGAAGTGTGAGTAAAAACAGTTCAGAATTTTGCCCTCCCTTTAAGAGTTATATACAGTGTTCCACAGTTATTGAAAGTACAGGCTCAACTATCTACACACTGTGTCTGCTGCCATTGGGTTCCTTTGGATGTTCCTGTGTACTTTAGATACACTCCATTTTAGTTGAAGCTTGTTTGGATCTACCTCTACTCCCTAAAAAACTTCTCTCTTTATCAAAATTAACAAATATCTCCTCACTTCACATCCACTAGGAGAGCTACAATCAAGAAGATAGCTGATAACAAGCATTGTTGAGGATGCAGAGAAAACCCTCTTACACTGAGGGTGGGAATGTAAAATGGTGCTGTCACTTTGGAAAACAGCCTAGCAATTCCTCAAACGGTTAAATACAGAGTTGCCACATGACCCAGAAATTCTATTCCTAAATATGTACCCAAGAGAAATGAAAATGTATGTCCACACAGAAACTTGTACATGTAAAACTAGAAGCATTATTCATAATAGCCAAAATGTGGAAACACCCAAATGTTCATCAACCAATGAATGGGTATTTAACATGTGGTATATCTATACAATGACTATTAGTCAGCAGTAAAAAGAAACTAAGTGCTGATGCATCCTACAACTTGGATGAGCCCTGAAAACATTGTGCTAAGTGAAGGAAGCCAGTCACAAAAGACCACATATTCTATGATTCCTTTTATATGAAATGTCCAGAGTAGGGAAATCCATAGAGACAGAAAGCAGATCAGTGGTGCCAGGGTCTGGGGGTAGGGGGAAAGGGGGAGTGACAGTTAACAGGTGTGGAGTTTCTTGTTGAGGTGATAAAAATGTTCTAAAGTCGATTGTAGGAATGATGATTGTACAGCTATGTGAATATACTAAAAGCTATTGAATTATACACTTGAAATGGGTTAACTGTGTGGTATATGAACTGAACCTCAATAAATCTGTTCTGAAAAAAAGAATATAGATTCTGGACCCAAGCTGCCTGTGTTAAAATCACCCTGGCAGCTCTGGTGTTCTGAGACAAGGATTTGGGTGCAAGTACTGTATTTGAGAAGATGTCCTAGGCAGTGTGGTCAGGACGTAGGGAAGTGAGACAGGAGAGTAAGGAAAGCCAGTAGAGGAGGCATTCATGAGTGAGTTACTGTTGGGGGCAACTGGGGCTCAGTCCTACTGCCCCCTCCATAAGGCTATGGAGACCACAATTCAGAATTGTACCCCCCCAAGCGATGAGAAAGCTCTGTTGTTTCTGAGTGCTGACTTCTATGCTTCTAACCAGAGAAAGGCCCCAGACAGGAGGAGAGATACACAGAGACAGAGACAGACAGACACAGAGACAGACATGCAGGTACTTGAGGCAGGAAGCAGAGGGCACAAGATCTGTTCCCCAAACCTACAGGTGAACCAGTCCAGAATGACTGAACAAACATGGGCTGAACATAGACAGTGTGCTGATGGGAGTGTTCCGTAATCTCTCTGGCCCTCAGGTCCCTCGTCCTTTGTATGGGGGAAAGAATAGCGCCTGTCTCATAAGGGTGATATGGGGATTGATGAGTTCATGTATCTGCAATATTTCAACAGTCAAAAATACTCATCTTGAATCTTTCTCTGTTTTTTGAACTTCTGACTTAACCATGATCATTCCTGTTCTGCATGAGCTTCTAACAAGACAGAGAAGAAATCCATCTATTGTAAGTTTCAAAAAGAAATAGAACCACTTCGGAGAACAGTCTTCTTATTAGGCCCCCTTTGTGTTTGATCAGCTTTGAATGGCTGCCTTTTGAAATACGCCATAAGCTTTGTTAACGCATTATATGCCCATCCCAGCAAGTTCTGTTATTGGAGCAACTCTATGATCTTTCTCATTCTTGCTGTTCTATTTTATGGAAACTCTTGGTGGGATTCAAGTGAGAGCTGTTCATCACAGTACTCTGTTGTGTTTTCCTTTGTGTCTTCTATTTTCCCAAAGCTGTGTTCAGAGGACACTAGACCCTGGGGAGCTTTCTTTTTGTGAAACTTCTGCAGTCTAGGGGTTGAAGCCAGTGGCTGCAATCCCAGGCAATTCTGAGTTCTACTTCTGTCAAAGGCATTTACACTCAATGTGTTTCATTGCTCAGGGATGACTGAAACAGCCCAGTTGGTGAACAGCCGGGGGAAATAGGGTTAAACAACAACAACAACAACTATGTTACATGAGCTCAACCTGTCACGATTACAACTCACTGTAAAGATTTGTTCAGCGAAGCAAATATCTCTGGATTGTTTCAGGCTGTGACTCTTCAATTAACCTGACATTTCACAAGTCCAGAAGTGCCATGGATGAACTCTTTACTTCGCTTCGGGATATTGCTGGAGCTCGGAATCTCATGAAACAGTTTAAGTCTGTATATGTTCCTGGAAATCATACCCACCAGGCAAGTACATATGTTTTAAAGTAACCGTCTAATCCGTGTTGTGTTTTTAGGATTCAGAGACTGAAAGAAAAGTTTCCATTTTAACCTCTCTAAAATGAAGGATTTGTTCAAGATGAAATCCAAGGCCCTTGTAGTCTAGAGTTCTGGGTTCCCCTGAATCTGAAAGCTTCCCAGTTTATTTGTATTTCAGGCTTGATGCAGTGAGATGAGCGCTGGATTACGGGTCAGCGCTGCTTTATAACTGCCCCAGAGCTGTTCTGTCACCTTAAGCAAGTCCCTAAGCGCCAGATGTGGGGTGGCCTTAGTGCCCAAGTTTCTCGATCTAAGAGTAGCAAAATTACCTAATAATGTTATGGCAAGGAAAAAAGAAGCTGATGCCAGCAAAAACGTTTGTTATTTAAAATGCCCCCACCACTTTATTAGGAGAGTAGGAGAACCTTGCAAGGATGTTTTGACCAGGGAGTAGGAAGATGGTATGAGAATCCAAGATTGAAGCTATCAAAGCTCAGTGGGGCGAGGTGTGGGGGAGGCACGGGGAGGCACAGAAAGAACCCAAGGGATGATGAAGGGGTGAGGAAAAGCTGGAGCCATCGAGGCTGGGCAGTCTCTGTTGGACAAGCAAGAGACAACCCGCAGGTTCCTGGTGGCCAGAGGTGAGCTTTCAAGGAAGAACAGATGTTTCTGACAGAAAAGATCATTGGGTTTTGCTGTGGAGTGTGTGAAGGAACCTTCTCTTCCATCTCCCCATGAAATAGTCAGTAAAATTCGCTCCATTTGCTAAGGCTTTTCGGAGAGTTGAATGAGCTGTTAGTGGGGACTATGACATAGTGAGGGGTTCAGCTTGAGGGTGCTGACTCTCTAAGGTGGGCATGTAGACAACAGCTACGGTTACCTGCTACAACCTAGCAAAATCCAGATTCTTCCTCCCATATATTTGTATAGTAGCTGATACTTGAAGAGTCTCCTACATTTGGTTTTCCCTTTGATCCTCACGACAAGTAGGCCAGAGAGGTATTCTCATCCCGAGACCCAGGAAGCAGGCACACGGGTGGGCCAGGGCATGACGCCAGGTCTTTGCTGCCAACCCAAAACCTCCCCGCTTGCTGCACCGCGGTTCTCCTGGAGGGTCTAGGAATAATGACCGATAATGCTGATCTTAGATACTGAAATCACCCACCAAGACACAAAAGACACCTTAGAAATTGGCACTCAACTTAGTAATATAAATTCCCATCTTTTGTTCAATGATCCGAGAACATCACTACCACGAAATACAGATAAAATCACTCAGATAATTAATCAGATGTAGTTTTGTCATGAAAAAAATTACCAATCTTAAATATGGCAGTATGGACTGGTCCTAGAAGACGTGATAGGACTGTTGATATATGATGAAATTTAGACCAAAGGATATCAAGAAGCAAGTGGCTGCTGTCATTGGCAAAGGGAAGATAAACCGCTAAATTAATGAGGTCTTTTCAGTTTTGTGATCATCATGGTGACTAATTTGGCCAACTTCACATAAACATGTATTAGCTATAAATCTTGGGCATAATAAGGACAGTGATAAGTTTCCTAGACTTTATCTCCCTGCTACCAACACAGTTCCTCCAGACCTCAGAACCCTGTCTGAGCAGCCATCGCCTTTGGAAAATGAACTTTCCCTTGTTGCATACACTTCCCTTACAGTGAGTCAGTAACATCAACCCATCCACCAAAAATCCTAAATGTCAGTGAGTAGAAGTGGGGGCAAGGCAGGGAGTATATGTGTGTCTTGAGGGGATTAAATAACAATTATACAGACACTTAGAGAAATGCTGTGCAACCAATAAAATGAGTGGGATCTAAATATACTTGGCAAGGACTGTATTTGGGTCCTTGTCCTGGGCTCTGCTTGGAGAATTCAGAATAAAACAGGGGTTCATGTTCTGTTGGGTGTAGATGTACATCTATTGGGTGTATATAGATCATTCTGTAAAGCATTATCCTATTTTTGTTTAAAAACATATACATGGGTGTATATGTTTAATAAGTCTTTAACATTTTAGGAAAATTTTATAATGGTTATGTGCAGGGAACAGAAAGGGTTAGATGCACAAGGAGGAACTCTGGCTTCTTGCTTTATATTTACATATGTAGAGGAAGAATTTTTGAGGGGATTATGGATAATTTTTACCTGTTTGAGTTTTTCAACACTTTTTGAACTTAAAGAAGTTTTCAGGACTTCCCTGGTGGCGCAGTGGTTAAGAATCTGCCTGCCAATGCAGGGGACACGGGTTTGAACCCTGGTCTGGGAAGATCCCACATGCCGTGGAGCAACTGAGCCCACACGCCACAACAACTGAGCCTGCGCTCTAGAGCCCACGCACCGCAACTACTGAGCCTGCGTGCCACACTACTGAAGTCCAGTAGTCTAGAGCCCGTGCTCCGCAACGAGAAGCCACCGCAATGAGACGCCCGCGCACCACAACGAAGAGTAGCCCCCGCTTGCTGCAGCTAGAGAAAGCCCACGCACAGCAACGAAGACCCAATGCAGCCAAATAAATACATACATACATAGATTTATTAAAAGAAAGAAAAAGAAGTTTTCAATCACAGATGGAAGCCCCTTGAGGACAGGGATTTTGATCTGGTTTGTCCACTGCCATATCTTCAGTGCCTAGAGCGGTATCTTGCACATAGTGGATACTCGATAAATATTTGTTGGGTGCATCTTAAATGTGCTACATGTATTTTTATCACATGTTGGAGGATTTGTTGTGACAAAAGTGTGTATAGATAGAAAACAACAAATGTCCAGAGTAGAAACAGAGTCCAGCTTTGTTTAGCTTTGAAGATGGACCTTGGCTGGGCAACTTTCTGTCCATCCCTTCTCCCAGCTTGGTCCTCAGCTCCAGGAAAAAATTGTGCTTTCTATCTAGCCCCATGCTGTTCCTACACAGAATCTAGTTGGGATGTCCTGGTCTCCCTGGGACCAGTGCTGTGTATCGGCCTCTCTCCCCTGGATCTCAGGGCCCCTACCAGCCCCAGCCTCCCTCCCAGGGTACCTCTCTCCTGCTCCGATACAAATGAGTTGACTCTTAGAGCCACTCCTGTTTCCACTCCTAGCTTGAGGCACCTCTTATTTAACCTTCATCCTTTAGCCCTTTAGGAAAATGTGTCAGTCACAGCTCAGATGCAGAAAGCAGACACCACTCTCGTCATTTTAAGGAGAACAGGATTCCATACAAGAAATTAAGTGCATATAAAATCTTGAAAGAGCTAGAGGAGTGGGACCTAGACTAGGTCTCCAGAAGTGAGCGCAGAACATCACCACACACGTGGCCCTCCAAGGAAACTAGTACCTCTGCCACAGCCAGGAGAGTGAGCATGATGGGGATCATGAGGCTGCCACTGAAGCTCTTTATTTGAAGAACACACCAGCAAAGCTGGAAACAGTTTCTGGGTTTGCTCACCACGGTAAATGCAGAGCCCAGCACAATGCTTGCCACCTAGGGGTGGGTGGATAGGTGGATGGATGGGTGGATCCTGGACTGTGGGTCTTATCCAGAAAGGCATTTCTTACGTTCTTAATTCTTAGTGAGAGGGAGGTTAGCATGTACGTTAACAGCAACATTTGGGTTCATAGCCCAGCTCTGCTCCCTACTAACTGTGTAACCTTAGGCAAATTAACTTCATCTCTCTGTGCCTAGCTCCTCTTATGTAAGCAGGAGCTAACAGTAGTAGCTCCTTCATAAAAGTGCTCTGAGGGCTTCCCTGGTGGCGCCGTGGTTGGGAGTCCGCCTGCCGATGCAGGGGACACGGGTTTGCGCCCCGGTCCGGGAAGATCCCACATGCCGCGGAGCGGCTGGGCCCGTGAGCCATGGCTGCTGGGCCTGTGCGTCCGGAGCCTGTGCTCCGCAACGGGAGAGGCCACAACAGTGAGAGACCCGTCTATCACAAAAAAAAAAAAAAAAAAAAAGTGCTCTGAATAATATATATAAAGCTCTCAGGATAGGAGCTGACACATAGCGCTATGTAAGCATTGTCTCTAACAGTTGTAGTAAAGGACAAAATAGACCTTCCCTTTGTCCTCTTTCGTAGCATTTCGTCATTTCCTTTATTGGGAGATGGGCTACACAGAAAGGGAGTCATTCTTAAGCTGACTGTCCTGTTAGCTGTGGCATTTGGTCAGAGTCTACTGCTGACACCCGTTTGTTTGGAAAAGTCATGTTTGTCCATAGACTCTGTTGACCAGAAACATAAGCCCCAGTTTTGCCTGTGCAGCAAGTCTTCTTATGCTTTCATTTCTTAACTACAAATGTTCCAGTTTAATGGGAGGCTTAACCTCCTTCCTAAATGTCAGTGTTTGATGTGCTGCTGTTTCTCAGATGACTCAGGGCAAGGAGCTTATGAGCCCTTTCAGACAAAATATTGCACGGCTCTTGCATGACAGGTTTTGGCAGAAGTCTCAAAGTGCTGTGTTTCCCTGGAGGAAACTTCCCACAGATGCGCACTGTCCTCTGTACCTCCGGCATGTTGAACCAGAGCCTTTAGAACCAGCAGGGCCCAAGGAGGCCTGATTCATCTTGTGCCCGGTGAAATATGCACTCTGAACAGTCTGTAGGCCCAGTCTCTTCATCAACATCAACAATCCCCAGCTCTGGCCACCAGCTGGTCTTTTCCAAGCACTAAGCTCTGTTCTTCCTTCTGATTCTATCTACCTAACCCTAGACCTGCTAGCATCCTTTTTGAAAGGCTCTGCGTGAGATAGGGCTATGCTGGGGGGCCAGGAAACTTGGCTCTGTCCTGTAGTCTAACTTCTAACTGCCTGTGTGAATTCAAGCAAGTTAATTAATAGCTTTGGGCTTTGATTTCCTCATATTGAAGTTGAAGGGACTTTAATCAAAACATATTTTAAGTAATCTGCTTCTGGTTTGAAGGATGGATGGATGGGATGAACAGATAGACAAATGAACCGCTTATTAATCTGCAGTGCAAAGCATTTTCCTTAAGAAGAT